ACTTTTTATGGGTTTTTCTTTCCCCCAGCAAATCTGTGTCCCTTTTAAACAAAGATACTTAATTTTAAAGTCTCTTCATAAGAACTTTTTCATCATTGACTTTGTAAATTAATTTTTAGAGAAGAGTTAGGAACTGGGGATAGTTCAATTGTAAGGTGCTTGTGTAGAGATGGGGACTTGATTTGTATCCCTAGCACCCAGGTGGAGTCTGCCAGTATACCCAAGTGTTTGAGTTGTAGGTTTAGTGAGAGACTCATACAGTAAGGTAGAGAAATGATTGCAGTAGATACCCAGTGTTGATTCCTGGCTCCCATGTGCACACCCAGTCACGCACATGAAGCTACTAATTACTAGACTATCCCACCCTCACGATGGAAATTGAACTTAGAACCTTATGCATTCTAGGCAAGCACTCTACTACTGAGCTCTATATTCCCAGCTCAGTTACAGGATTTCTCTGTGTAGCCCTAGTTGTCCTGGAACTTGCTCTGTAGAGTAGACTGGCCTTGAAATCAGAGATCTGCCTGCCTTTGCCTCTTGAGTGCTGTTATTATTATTATTTTAAGTCCGTAGAAATAGAGACAGTTTAAGAAAGACAGTCTCAAGAATAGGAGTGGGCGAGCAGTCTTGCAAAATGCAGACACTCAAAAGCCTCTTTATTCTGTTTTAATAGCTTTTCCAAGACTTTATTTATTCATCAGTAGTACTGTAACTTTATACACAATTTTTTTCTGTTTTCATTTGTATCTTCCTTTTGGTGTCTATGTGTAGGTAGGTGTTACATGGCTTTACAAGTGTGGAGGCCAGAGGAAGACACTGGGTTTGTTCTACATTCGCTGCTTTTTTTTTTTTTGAAACAGTCTCTCACTGAATTTGGGCCTAGGCTGGGGGCCAGCAAGCCTCAGCCTCCTCCTGTTTCCACCCTCCACAGGGATGGGGGAATAGACATTCATGCAGCAACAACCAATTTTTTACCTGAGTGCTAGGATATTCAGGTTCTCTTGTGCAGCAGGTGCTCTAACCACTGAGTCATCTTTCCAGCTTTTGGGTTTTTTTCTCACAGTTATGCTTTGTAGCCCTTGCTGGTCTGAATATGGTGGCAGTACTCCTGCTCAGCTTCCTGAGTGCTGAGACATGCATTACCATGTGTGGCTTCTGCCTATTTTAGGTCTAGTCTATTTTTCTAGCATTTGAAGTTGCACATGACATTATATTCATATATTTTTATATATGTAGTCCAGCCTGTCCTTGAACGTAATCATCTTCTTACTTCAGCCTCTTGAGCACTAGAATTACATGTTTGTGCCACATATCCAGCTTAAAATTTGTTTTTAGCTGTGTGTAAAAATATTCCTGTTGACAGAGAATCTGTGTGAAGTTTTTACTCACATATTCATTGTATGTCTAAATCACTAGTGTTAGTTAGCATATTTACTCAAATTAATTTCTCTGTGGTGAAAACCTGCAAAATCTTTTAGGGCTGGGAATGTATCCAAGTCCTGGGGTATGTACATTACAGATGTGAGGCCTGGAGTTGAATCCCCTGGGCTATCCTTACCCCTAAACAGTATTGCCTATATCTAGTTATTTGAAAAATCTTATGTTCCTTTTCTCTTCTGGGGCTACTTTTATTTATTTTTTGACATGGGGTATTGTTATGAAGTACTAGTTAGCCTGGAACTCTACATATAACCATGCTGGTCTTGAACTTGCAATGATCCCCTGCTTTTGCCTCCTGAGTACTAGAATTATAGCTGTGCACTAGCACTGCATGATTTGTTATGTTTTAAAGCATCCCTTTTCTGTTCTAGTCTCCAGCTTCTCAGTCTTGTCCTCTTTCTTTTCCCTACGAGACAGATGTGCTGCATTCACTTCCTACTCCTTTCCTCCTTGATGTCCTTTGTTGAAATTATGTAAGTATTTTAGATCTTAAAGTCAGCATGCACTTATTCCTTTGCTTATAGCTTGGAAATAAAAATCTTTCTTATAGCTCTTGGAAATGTAAAATTGCACTGCTGTGCATCTACGTGAGTCAGAGACTCTGAGTAGCAGTCCTTGTGTGTAAAGCTTCTTTTGGATTCCTGCTTGAAAGCTGGTTGACAGATACCACTTCTAAACCTTTTTCCTGTATTTGAAGCCTGTGTACCTTTGTCTTCTAACACTCATGTTGCTGATGAAGAGCACTGCTTACCTTTGTGTAATTTATGTCTCTTCTAGGAACTTTGGTTCTTCTTAGTGTTTTCTGAAATTTTAGTAAGGTTTCTTCACTTATTTTACTTTTGGTTTTTCCAGACAGAGTTTCTCTGTAGCCCTTGCTATACTGGAACTCACTCTGTAGATCAGGCTTGCCTAAAACTCACAGAGTTCTGACTGCTTCTGCCTCCCAAGTGCTGGGACTAAAGGCATGCACCATCATCTCCTGACTTCTTTTCTTTGATTTTTTAAGATAAGGTCTCACGCCGGGCGGTGGTGGCTCATGCCTTTAATCCCAGCACTCGGGAGGCAGAGTCAGGCAGATCTCTGTGAGTTCGAGACCAGCATGGTCTACAAGAGCTAGTTCCAGGACAGCCTCCAAAGCCACAGAGAACCCCTGTCTCAAAAAACCAAAAACAAACAAACAAAAAAGGTCTCACTATGGATCACTAAGTGGCTTAGAACTCAGAGATTGGCCTGTGCTAAGACTAAATGTGTATTGCATCATACCTGGCTGTAGTAGGATTTTAAAAAAGTCTTAGTCTTCTTGAGTGTTTCCACTATGTCCCAAGAAATTTCTAGAGCTTCTGAGAGAAGGCTTTTGGTTTTGGTTCTACCTCTATTTCTCACTTTTTTTTTTGTTATTTTTGCTTTGTTTTTTTTGTTCTTGAGAGGCATTTTGGGAGGATTTCTTAGTTTTGTTTTCTCTTGTGTGACTGCACTCCCATTTTACTGTTAAGTGTTTGTTTGCTTGGCTTAGAGTATTTAGCTCTGTGACTCTCACATTTGGGTCACTGCCAACCTGTACCTTTGAAGCCCTTCCTCTCTTTACCAGTATGATCATACAGTTGGCCTTCTTTCATAGTTGCAGAAGTGATTAGTTCCTAGAGTATGCAGCCTTTTCTGCAAGACTTCTTTCACTCAGCTTGTTTTTGAGTTTCATAGATAAGTTTATGCAAGGGTGAGTGTTGAAAGCACCCCCAAACCCCATGATTAGGAACAAACTTTATTCATCTTTTTTTTTCTTTAAAATTGTGTGTGTGTATGTGTGTGTGTGTGTGTGTGTGTGTGTGTATGTGTGTGTGTGTATGAATATGTACGTGTGGGTGTAGATGCCAGAGGAAGCCAGAAGAGTGTTGGATCTCCTGGAGCTGTGGTTACAGGCAGTTGTGAGCTGCCTGGTGTGAGTGCTGGGAACTGAACTCTGGTCCTTTGTAAGAGCAGTGTGCATTCTTTTCCACTGAGCCATTTCCAGCTCCTATTTACCAGTTTTACACACACTTATAAGTATCGTTCCATTTACTTTTTAAAATCATTCATTAATTTTTGTGGTTTTGGTAATTATTAGTTTCTAATTTTTCATAGATGAGATCACATGTGTCTGAAGACATTGACTACTTGTTATTCCTGTAACTCTTTCTTCAGATACTTTATCATTTTGGTGGTATTTGTTCCCTTTTAGTGATTCATCCTTGGATGAGAAATCCTGTTAATCCATCAGTGGGTGTAGATTCTGTTTATTGTCTCCTGGGATGGAGTGTAGTTGAGATGGGATGTATGTATGTATGTATGACCAGGTATGAAGGCTGCCCTCCCTTTGGGTGACAGCAGCCAAGTAGATGCTGTTCTGACTCTGACTCTGTGTCTCTGGTCCATGTACTCAAGAGATTGTTTGCCTTTGTGATGGTGAAAAGTACTCTTGGTAGAGAGAACTTGATGGCTGCTAAAACTTGCTCCTGTGTCATTCTGGCAGATACTCCGTCTGATGCTTGGGTAAAGTAACCCTGGGTGCTTTTTGACCTTCACAGCTGCTTCCAGCTTTTTTAGCATTCCTTTTGAGGGTTCAGAACAGACAATGACTAGATTATTGTGTGTTTTTCTTTTTTTTCTTTGTGTGTGTGTGTGTGTGTGTGTGTCTGTGTGTGTGTTCCAGAATTATTTTAGGAAAGAATGTTAATAAAAAACTTAAGCTTTTATTAGTCATTCCTAGATTTAGGGTTGAGAAGGCACCCTATGTCCATCTTTACCTATGTTCTTGAAGCTGTTATTTTTTAATTAAAATTTTTTATATGTATGGTTGTTTTGCCTATGTGTATGTCTGTGTACCAGGTGTGTTCCTAGAGCCTATGGAGGCTAGAGGGTACCAGATCCCCTGGAAATGTAGTTAAATACAGTTGTGAGCCCCCTGTTTATTTAACTTTAAAGTGTTTTGGGGGCAGCAGATAGCTTGGACTTAAAAGTCCATCGAAGCCTTTTATTTTTAAGCTGCCAGTGTTTTCCTTTTTTGTCTTTCCAGATAATGAACCTAGGGCCTGATGTATAGTGGATGTATAGTGGATAAGTACTCTGTCACTAAGCCCAGAGTAGTGCTGAGAGGAATTGACCCTGGGACTTTCCTTGTTCTTTAGTGTGAGTACTAGAGCTCTGTAAAGTCTCAACACTCCTTCCTTCGAGCAGGAGGAAGGGTGAAGATTTTCATTCACGGTCTTTATTTTTCAGAGCTGATACTTCATTTGTTAGCTTTGAAGTATTTCCTAGTATAGTTTGAGCACACAGAAAAGTTAGTTTGGGGCTGGAGGGATAGCTCAGCGATTAAAGGCTAGGCTCACAACCAAAAATATAAGAAAAGTTAGTTTGTCCTAATACTTTGATATTTTTGATTCACATTTCTTCTCCCCAAAATTTTTTTGTTTAGAATTTTATTCCTTAGAAACCATAGCCTGTGGAATAAGTTTCTAGTCAAGTAAATAAAAACCTTTATTTTTAGAAATAGTTATTTTGACTATTTTTTTTTCTTTCTCATTTAGTTTTTCCATGGTTTGGCTTGGATATTGGTGGAACCCTAGTTAAGCTGGTTTATTTTGAACCTAAAGACATCACTGCTGAAGAAGAAAAGGAGGAAGTGGAGAGTCTGAAAAGTATTCGCAAGTACCTGACCTCCAATGTGGCTTATGGATCCACAGGAATTCGGGACGTGCACCTTGAGCTGAAGGACCTGACTCTGTGTGGACGCAAAGGCAATCTGCACTTTATACGCTTTCCCACTCATGACATGCCTGCTTTTATTCAAATGGGCAAAGATAAAAACTTCTCGAGTCTCCACACTGTCTTTTGTGCCACTGGAGGTGGATCATACAAATTTGAGCAGGATTTTCTCACAGTATGCATTTTTTAGCTTATATACAATTTATGGTAATTTGATTGTTTAAAATGATGCCAATTACAAGTAGTAGAATCATTTACATTTCTAATGGAGCTGAATATTCTTGAGGGAAGTGAACATATATAAACTAGTGACAGTCAGGAGTTGATCATCTGGCGATTATTGGGTAGTGTGCTTTTTACCTGGTTGAAATATGTTGATGTGTATCAGCATAACACTTTACCATTTCTTTAGTATGAAAACTTTGAATATGGGATAAGCATGGTAAGAACCTACAAGAAGTATCATCATTACATCTCATTAAGGAGTTAAAAAAAAATTAAAAATTTAGTCCTGGGCTAGGGAGTTGGCTCAGTCAGTAAAGTGTTTGTAGGACCTGAGTTTATTCTTTAGAACCCATATAAAAAGGCTGTGTGTGGACTGGAGCAGTAGCTCAGCAAGGACCTGAGTTCAGTTCCCAGTAACCATGTCAAAACTGCCTGCATTTCCAGTGCCAGGGTATATAATGCTACTTGTGGTCTTGGAAATGCAGAGACATAAATAAAAATTAAGTTGACTGTGGTGGCCCATGCCTTTAATCTCAGCAGTACTCAGGAGTCAGAGGCAGGTGGATCTCTTTTGAGTTTGGGGTTAGCCTGGTCTACATGGCAAGTTCTAGATCAGTTAGGGATACATAGACTCCCATCTCAGAAACAACATGACAAAAAACTGGGTATTGGCCCAGAACTTGGGAGGCAGAGACAAGTGGATCCCTGGGGCTCAAGGACAGCTGTTATGGAAAATGCCAAGCCAGTGCAGAATCAGGAAAAAAGTAGATGTCACCTGAGGAATAACATCTCAGGTGTCCTTTGATCTCCACATGTGCACATACACCCCATCTGCCACAAAACTGCTTCCAATCTTGTATACCACATAGTTTCTCTTCTGCTACCTCAGTTGTTTTTCAGTATGCCTGGTTAAAAGTGATTTTGGGGGATTGTGGAGGACTGGAGAGATGTCTGAGTGGTTAAAAGTACTGGCTGCTCGGTACCCAGGTTTGATTCCTAGTACCCACATGGTGGCTGGCTCACAACCACGTGTAACTCCAGTTCCAGGGGATTTGGTATATATGTGTGGTGTACATGTAAGCAGATCAGATGGAATGGGGATTCTGGCACTCGGGAGTCACAGAATACTGAGTGTTACAGCTTGGATGGAAAGATATTCTGGTACTTGGGAGTTGCAGAACACTGAGTGTTACAGCTCAGATGGAAAGATATCCTGGAGCTCGGGAGCCAAGGAATACCACAGGTCACAGTTTACAGCCCAGCTCCAGGGATGGGCTTCCTGATGTAATAGCTCTGCTCCAGCCAGGAGAGGGCTTCCCAGGGAAGTTGTTACAGTTGGCTCTGCCCCCAGTGTAACAACTTTGCTCTGCCAGGGGAAGGTTAGGGGAAGGTTTCAGCCCTGCTCCCCGCCCAGGGTCTTCTCTGCTCCGCTGCAAAAGAAGGTCTTCACCTAAACCTCATTCAAGAGATTTATTGGGAGGGAAGAATCCAGGAGAGTGGCTGCCTCTGCTAGGGTGAAAGGAGGCAGCTGGATAGCCACAAGCTGGACAGACACAGGGTTTATATAGGGATCCTTAGGGGGCTGGGTTTTTCCAGGGAGATTTCCAGGGTGTGTTGGTCACATTTCAGTCCCTGAGCTTAGAATGACTAGATCTCCTGCTCAGGGATTGGTTAGTTTTCGGCACAGGTTTAGGATAATATTTGGCTCTGGTTTCAGGCCAAAGTGTGTTTCTTTCACTGGTCATTTTTAGCTTTTTGGCTCTAATTTTAGGGCCAGGGTGTATTTCTTTCACTGGCTCTGATTCCAGGGAAATAGTGTGCTTCTTTGGCACTGGTTTCAGGGTCAGGGCACATTCCTTTGGTTCTGGTTTCAGGGCCAAATTGTGTTTCTTTGGCTCTGCTAAGGGTATGTTTCCCTGGCTGGCCCCTTTTCCCTATAATACATACATGCAGGCAAAAATCTCATACACATAAAATTTAAAATAAAAACTTTAAAGTGGCTGGGCAGTGGTAGCACACACCTTTAATCCCAGCACTTGGGAGGCAGGGGGATCTCTGTGAGTTCAAGGCCATCCTGGTCTACAGAGTGAATTCTAGGGCAGCCAGAGCTGTTAAACAGAGAATCCTGCCTGGAAAATGAGAGAAAAAAAAATTTTTTTTAAGTGGTTCTTTACGGGCATTAGAGCTGACAGAAGAGCTGTTGTGTATAAACTAGGCAAATACAGTCCCAGCCTGTGCTATACTTGCCAACCAAGTTTCTCAACTGCATCTAAACTCCTAAGGCCAGTATAACACTGGGCATTAGGTTTTGTTTTCCTTTTGTGGCTGCAAGGTCTTGAGGCTAGGTCTTTTGAGGGTTGATGTGACAAAGGTATGAGAACTAACAAGTGGATTGATTGCTCAAGACCCTAGCCTTCAGAGTGCAATACATACAGACTTAAAATGTCTTCAATAGCCTCTTCTTTCTCTCTCTCTCTCTCTCTCTCTCTCTCTCTCTCTCTCTCTCTCTCTCTTTCTCTCTTTCTCTCTCTCTCTCCCTCTCTCCCTCTCTCCCCCTCTCTCCCTCCCTCTCTCTCCCTTTCCCCCTCCCTCCCTCCGCCCCTACCCTGTCTTTCTTTCGAGACAGGATTTTTTTGTAGTTTTAGAGTCTGTCCTGGAACTTGCTCTGTAGACTAAAATGGCCTCAAACTCACAGAAATCTGCCTGTCTGTCCCTCCTGAGTGCTGGGATTAAAGGCGTGCACCACCACTGCCCAGCTTCAGTAACCTTTTCATGCTACCAAATGAGAGTATTTGACTGAGGGAGGTTTTCCCTTCTTTGACTCTGTCAATACAAAGTATAGCTCTTGCTTCACAGGAGTTAAGTTTATTCTGAACCAAATGCAAGCAGTCAGGTTTGGCAACAGAAATTTGGGCTGCCCTGAACAACATGAATGACATCTTTTTGTGGAAGAGGTTACAGAATAAAAGGAAACCATGTCAGTGCTTTTCTAAATGCATTGGTGGGAACATCAGGTCGGCAGGTGCTATAGGTTTTAGATGTTGTCTAATGACTTTCTTATGTTTAAGCTAGTGGTCTGTTAATACATTCCAAAGATTTTAGCTGATAGTCTAAAAGAATGTTAAGTATGAATGTTGGCCATGGCTATTGAGAGGACTAAAGAACAATTAAGAACTAACCTTAGTCAGTATGCAGACTCTCCGACATGTACCTAGCTTTCCCAGGGAAATTGAGTTTATACTGTTTTAATGTCTCGTTCTTTTCCCCCTGTGTCACTACATAGTTTATGGCCTTGTTCTTTTCTGATCCCCCCCCCCCCAACTGACTGTTGTAATCCAAGCATAGCAATGAAAACACACTAGTTAATAAGGTTTTACACTCTTTCCTTGGTTTTTCTTGTTTGTGGGTTTTAGTGGTTTTGTTTTTTTGGTTTTTTTTGTTTGTTTGTTTGTTTTTCTATGAATTCAGGTAAGGAGTAGAATAGCAAGTACTCCTTTGTGAGAGTCTCCCAGTAGGCTAGATAGCTAGGTAGGTGGAGAAAACTTCTGTTTCCAAGGTGCTGTAGAGGCCCCATTGCAATAAATACTTGAAAACCATTCAGGCCATTAACAGAGCCTCAGTTGTGTGAGCATCCAAAGGAAGAGTGCAAGTTGGAGTTTGTATTTTAAGAACAGGTTCTTAGGCTATTAGGGTTTCCTTTTCATGTTCTCATGTTATGATGAGAACTACATGGAATAAGGGTATTGGGAAAGTGACCCTGTGGGCAAAGTACCTACTGCTCAAGGATGAGGACCTGAGTTTGGATCCCATGAGTTAGCACCCATATTAGAAAGCTGAGTGTATGCCTATGGCCTTAGTGCTGGAATAGAGATGGCTGCCCAGCCTAGGTAGTGAGCAAGTCAAGAGACCTTGACTCAAAAGATGAGGTGAAGAGCTATTGAGAAAGACTTGATGTTGACCTCTAGGTCAACCTTGGTGTTGAACTTAAGAGCTGTTCACATGGGTTACTTGATTAGACTAGGCCAGGGATTCCCCCTGCCTGTCCCTTCCCAACACGGAGATTATAGGTGTGTGCTGTCACACCCAGTTTTTTCTGAGTGTGTGGAAATGGAAGTGGTCCTCATGCTTGGGTGGCAAAACTTTATCACCTGAGCTACCTTTCCATCTCAGCATGCCAGTCTTTATGGATTCTGCCATTGTTATTAGGTAAGCCATGGCCTTAGTTACATCTCTGCTTCACTGTCTATGTCAGCAGCGGTCCTATTTTCTGCTGCTCACTTGGGACTTGGCACACAGCCCCACAGTTATATTAGTTTGGATGGAGACTTTTTGGGTCTGTGAGAACCAGAGTATGTCTTGGTGATTCATCCTCCTTTTCCTTTTCCCAGATCTGCTCTGCAAAGCACATATAAATGCTACACATCCATGGATACACTTTTATGGTTCCTTCATTGTAGAGATGCTTTTTTTTTAATGGAATTTAAAAGTTTTCTGTTTGTTGCCAGATGTGGTGGCTCATACTTAGAGTCCTAGCACTTAGCAATTGGGTGCAAGAGAAAGTTTTAGGGACAGCTTGGGTTACAGTGAGACTTTGTTTCAGAAAAACATATTAAAAAAATTGTTGGCTTATTAGAAAATCTGATAACATTTTTATTTTATTACAGATAGGTGACCTTCAGCTTCACAAACTGGATGAACTGGATTGCTTAATAAAAGGAATTTTGTACATTGATTCAGTTGGATTTAATGGACGGTCACAGTGCTATTATTTTGAAAATCCTGCTGATTCTGAAAAATGTCAGAAGTTACCATTTGATTTGAAAAATCCATACCCTCTGCTTCTGGTGAACATCGGCTCAGGGGTTAGCATCTTAGCAGTGTATTCCAAAGATAATTATAAGAGGGTCACAGGCACCAGGTAAATCCTTCATATAAGTCATTGTTCATACTTTGATTTAGGTTTACTGAGCTCTCAGGTATCACTGAACCATACCTGTAGCATGAATAATAAAAGCCCAGAGACAGATACTGGGGATCAAGCTGAAGATCAGAGAAGCAAAGCAGCCGGCCGCTAGCTCTTTACCTATACCTCAGGCTGAAAGGGCTGTCATGTCCTCATTGTGGCTGGAGAATAAATCTCTGAGACTGACTACTGAATGCCCCGCTCCTGTTTTATATACCTCTAGAGCTGGGATTAAAGGTATGGGATCCCAAGTGTTGAAATCTCCTTTGTGTGAGCTGTTTCTCTTTTAGAGTGATTCACTTTAATGTAACCCTGAGTGGCCTTGAACTCACAGCTTGTCTCCTGAGTCATGGGATTAAAGGTATGTGCCACTACTGCCTGGCCTCTATGGTTAGTGTCTGACTCACAAACCCTCAGGCAAGCTATATTAAATCATAAATATTACCACATACACCTATAGCACCCATTTAAATTTTGTGAAAGATTTAAAGTTTTTGAAACTATTCAAGCACATGTTGCTTCTCTTCAAACATTCTGATATCCTGAGCTCTTTAATCTCTTTTGGTTAGGATTTTTTCCCCTTGAGACAGGGCTTCCCTGTGTAGCTTTGGAGCTTTTCCTGGAACTAGCTCTTGTAGACCAGACTGATCTCAAACTCACAGAGATCCACCTGCCTCTGAGTGCTGGGATTAAAGGTGTGCACCACTGCTGCCTGGCTTTTGCTTAGGATTTTTTTTATTATTTCTTTAGGCATTACCTCAACAGACTCATTGTATCCATAGTTTATAGTGTGCATATATAAGATAGTTGGAGTTAACCAGGTAGACCTTTGGAAGAGAAGGCAAGAAAAACTTTGTAGGGGGAAATGCTGACCACTTCTGACACCAGCTAAAACTGAACGCAATGTGGAGTCAGAACTAGATTGATAACAGATAGTTTATTAAGAAAGTACTCACACAGTGGAGCCAGTGACCAGGTTTATACTGGATGCCTGCTCGTCTGTTCAGCCAGGAGGGAGAGGGAAAAGAGACCTGAGTGCATGTGTCTCTGATATTTAAACCCTTGCTACGTCACTCTGACCACTCGTGGTCAGTGGTGCCTGTGCCAGCCCCAAGTGGGCATGGTCAGCATTTCCCCCTAAAAAACTTCTTCCTTTGAAACCTGTAGACTTTGTACATATACATCCATACATGCTTTAGCATGTGCTTATATGCATTTATACCAGAGGATGATATAAGGTGACCAGGGGATGGCTATAGGGTAGGGGGTATTTAATGGGATGGTGTGTGTAATAGTTTGAATAAAAATGGCTTCTATAGCCTCATGTTTTAATACTTGGTCCCAGTTGGTGGAAATATTTGGGAAGGATTAGGAATTGTGGCCTTGTTGGAGATGTGTTACTGGGGGTGGACTTTAAGATTTCAAAAGCCCCAGCCATTCCTGGCTTTCTCTGTCTCAAGATGTGAGCTCTCAGCTACTGCTCCAGTGTCAAACTGCCTACCTGTTGTCATGTTCCCCACCATGATGGGATAAACACTTCCAAAAGTTGCCTTGGTCATGGTGTCTTACCACAACAATAGAAAAGTAACTAAGACAGAAGTTGGTATCAAGGAATGGGCTATTGGCGTGACAGGCTCGTGGTATGTGGACTTTGGGGCTTTGGATTAGGAAAGTGGTTAAATGCTGAAAGCAGGGCTGAATAGGACCATCTTAGTAGGAACTTGGAAGACAGCAGTACTAAGAGCAATGTTGACTATGGATGCCCAGCTCAAGAGGTTTCAGATGGGGTCAGGTATGGTATGGTGTATGCTGTTAATCCCAGCACTCAGGAGGCAGAGGCAGGAGGATCTCTGAGTTCAAGACCAGACTGTTCTTACAGAATTCCAGGCAGTCAGGACTATATAACTAGTTCTCAGCCTTTTTAATGCTGTGTGACCCTTTAGTACAGTCCTCATGTTGTAGTGACCCGCAACCATAAAATTATTTTCTATGCTAATTTTGTTACTGTTAGGAATTGTGATGGTCTCGGATGATTCTTGTAAAAGGGTCATTTGACCCTTAAAGGGGTTGCAACCCACAGGTTGAAAAATGCTGATATAGAGACTCTGTTTCAGACAAACAAACAAACAAGCAAAAAAACCAAACAAAAAGTGTTTCAGAGGAGAACAATATTAGCAACTGAGTTAGAGATCATTCTTGTGATATTCTGGAATGAATATGGTTACTTTCTGCTCTTGTCCTAAAAAAATGCCTGAGGCAAAATTGAAAAAATGATGCATTAATTTTCTTGGCTGAGAAGATCTTCAGTGCAAAAGGATAAGTGAAACAAAAAGAAATACAAAATATACAGTTTGAAGTGGAAAAATAGCATTAGAAGATTTAATGTCAGAACCAAGGCCTATGCTGAAAGATAAGGTGAGGCCTGATGGTAAATAAAATAAAAGGGGTGGGTGCTCTCAGAGCAAGAAACTACCCAGCTAAGCTTTCAACTTGTAAGAAGGAAATGCCTGGAAAATTTTCTGCTCAGAACAAACAAAAACCAGCAATAAAGGAAAGCTGCTGCAAGTGTAATTCAGGAAGGGGCCAGGTCTCTTCCTAAGCAGGCAGCTTAACTTGGCAGTTACCGACATGGTTTTGGCTTTAGCGTCAAGACAGATACATGAGTAAAGTGGTGTGGAGTCTTCATGATTAAGGAAAACCACTTGAGGCCACGCATATGGCAGGGAAGTCCCTTCATGGAGGCCCTGAGAGGCCATGTATGAAGCTGTGAAGGTGAAGCCTGGATTGCCTTAGAGATCCCAAGATATTGGAGACACCAGAGCCTTGGAATACCTGCTAAGGAGAGTCACAGGCAGGCTGTGGAACCAGCCCAAAAGAGAGAAGTGTGTAATAGTTGGCAAAGCTGGAAGGGGAAAGCCATTTAAGTCCTTTGCCATCAGACAGAAATAGTGGATTTGGAGTTTGCCTTGCTATTTTTCAGTCTTGGTTTGGTCCAGTATTTCCTCACTTTGACCTTTCCTCCATCTGGGATGGCAATGTGTATTCCGTGCATTGTATGTCAGGACTATGTGACCTGATTTTTGCTTTTGCTTTTACATGGGGTTACTGTTACTGGATTGCCTTGAGTCTTGGAAGAGACATGGATAGACTTAAACAGTGTTGAGACTGAAATACTATGGGAACTTTTGGGGGTGGACTAAATACATTTTGCATTATGATATGGCTACAAGCCTATGGGGGCCAGGGTGGAATGTGGTGGTTTGGATGAGAATGCCTTCTCATAGGGTCATATATTCGAATGCTTGGTCCTCAGTTGATGGAAGTGTTTGGGAGGATTAAGAAGGGTGGCCTCATTGGAGGAGATTTGTCACATTGAGGTTTTAAAAACCCTAGCCATTCCCAGTTAGCTCTCTTTGCCTTATGGTTATGTCTCAAGGTGTGAGATCTCAGCTACTGCTCCAGTGCCATGCCTGCCTGCTACCATGCTTTCTGTCATAACTTTTCATGGACTGAAACTGTATTCCCCAATTCTTTATATAGGGCATCTTGGTCATGGTGTCTTATCACAGGAATAGAAAAGTAAGACAATGTGGATCTAGAAGTTGAGATACTGATAAGTAGAAAAGTGATTTGAAAAGGGAGGATTAGATGAAAGAAAATGAATGTTTTGGTTAAAGTTCAAGGGTTATTTGAGGAAAAAAAGGAACTGAGGGTTTGAATAACTCTTAACCTAATGAGTATAATAATCATTAGCCAACAAATGAGAGTATTGGAGACAGGGGTTTCAATAAAGGAGTCTGGTGGGTTAGTGACAGGTGCTTGAATGATGTCAGAGGTCACTCTGCACTTGAAGACAGAAAGTAGGTGCTGCCATGACTCTGGGTATGTTGGCCTTACTTATGTGTACCTGAGGCTTGTATACTCAGCAAGAGTGGACAGCGCTTGGGACACGTACAAGGAGATGGGATATATTTTTTTTTCTACTTTGTTGGCTCACATGGACATATACATTTTGTATTTATGAGGCACTTACATTTATCTTGCAAACTTATTGGTATCGTGCATGATCTAATTGGGGCAAGAGTAGACTGATACATGAATATTGTTTGGAGTTCATAAGTCTTAACATCCCATTCCTGTGTTTTAAAAATACTACATTGTTTACTTTTTATCATAGTCTTGGAGGAGGAACTTTCTTTGGTCTCTGCTGTCTTCTTACTGGCTGTAGCACTTTTGAAGAAGCTCTTGAAATGGCATCTCGTGGGGATAGCACCAAAGTGGACAAATTAGTTCGAGACATTTATGGAGGAGACTATGAACGGTTTGGATTGCCAGGCTGGGCTGTGGCTTCAAGGTAAGGGCGTATGTATGTGGTAAGAAACTATTAGGTATATGTTTTATTTTAAACAGTTTCATTGAAATGTAACTTATAAAGTTATCTGTTTAAAATATTTAATTTGGGGCTGAAGATGTAGTTCAGTTAGTAGAATATGTACTAGTATTTATGGAGCCCTGTACTAGTGTATATGATTCTCTAGCACTGTATAAACTGGGTATGGTACATGTCTATAATCTCAGCCCTGGCATGGAGGCAGGAGGATCAGGAGTTCCAGATCATTTTGTGCTTCATAGTGAATTGGAAGCTAGTCTGGTATACGTAAGCATTTGTCTTTTTTTTTTTTTTTTTTTTTTTTAAGGGGTTTTTGGGGGTTTTTTTTGTTTTTTCAGGATTTTTTTTTTTTTTTTTTTTTTTTTTTTTTAAAGTGTGATTTGGTGGTTTGTTGTGTATTTGCAGAATTTTGCAGCTATTACTATAATTCAGTTTTAGAATATTTTTTATCATTTTAGAAAGAAATCTTGCAGCCCTTAGCTGTTACTTTTCCATTTCACCTCTCAACCTTCCCTCCCTTTTCCCCCCCCCCCCCCCCCCCCCCTTTTTTTTTTTTTTTTTTTTTTTTTTTTTTCTGCCTCTGGATTTGGTTACTCTGAACATTTCGTATATATGGTATCATGTAGTATGATCTGTCATAACCAGCTTCATGTCACTTACTGCAATGTTTACAGAATTATTTCTTTTTATTGCTGAGTGGTCTATTATGTGACTACCATATTTTATGTATTAACTAATAAACATTGTGTATTCCCACTTTTTTTTTTGGCTGTCATGAATAGTGATGAAGACATGTGTACTTGTTTTTTGTATGGACATTTAATTTTCTTTCTTTTTTTCTTTTTGTTTGCTTGCTTGTTTGGTTCAGAGTTTCTCTATGTAGCCCCAGCTCCTCTGGGACTCACTCTATAAACTTGGCAAGCCTCAAACTTGAGAACTGGCTGCCTCTGCCTCCCAAGTTAAAAGCCTGTGCTACTCTAACCTGCTTTAATATTCTTGATCTCTACCTAGGAATGAAATTGGTATGCTGCCTGGTAACTTTATATTTAGTCTTTTGAGGAACTACTAGACTGCTTTCCAATGTGACCATACCATTTTACAGCCCCAGGATCTTTTTTTTTTTTTTTTTTTTTTTTTGGTTTTTCGAGACAGGGTTTCTCTGTGGCTTGGGAGGCTATCCTGGAACTAGCTGGTCTCTATCCAGGCTGGTCTCAAACTCATAGAGATCTGCCTGCCTCCCGAGTGCTGGGATTAAAGGTGTGCACCACCAATGCCTGGCTCCAGCCCCAGGATCTTAAGAGAGATTAACTTATTCTATATCATTGTCTTTTTGTTTAGGAGTCCTCTCCACGTCTTTTGTTGGCAAATACTATCCATTGAGTGTTGACGCTTATAACCTCATTTGGGTTTTTTGAGACTGGGTTTCAGTGTATGGTCCTGGCTGGCCTCAGGTTTTTGTTCCTCTTTCTGCCTTTGCCCTCTGAGTGCTGGGATTATAGGTAAGTGCTATCAAACCCAGCCAGAAGTTTGTAATTTTGGTGAAACCTCTTATTTATATGTGTTTATCCTTTATGCTTTTAGTGCAAGGGATAAAGAATTTTATAGTTTGGGTATTGACATTTATGTTATGACCCATTCTATGTTAGCTTTTCTGTGTGGTACATGATAGAGCTCCATAGTCTCTTTTGCATGGTGTTTTTTTTACTTGTTCTAGCTGACCATTGGCTGAAGACTGCTCTTTCCCTATTCTTTGGAGGCCTTTGTCACAATTAGTTGACTCTAGATGTTTCAGTTTATTTCTGGATTCTTAATTTCCTTCTGTTGTATAGATTTGTCTTTAAAACAGTACCACATTCCCTTGTTTACTTCGGCCTAGTACTAAGGGGGAAGTGCTAAACATACAGGACACAGCCCTTTAACTTGTTCTTCCTTTCTAAGACTATTTTGAATTCTTTGACTTTCTGTATGAAATTTAGGATCAACTTGGCAATGTCTGTAAAGAAGACAGCTGGAATTTTGATAGGGACTGTGTTGAATCTATTGACCAGTTTGAAGAGTATTTTTATTTTTTTAATTATTATTTTTGAATTTTATGTGTGTTTCCCTTGGATGTATGCATGTGTACCCAGTGTGTGTCTGGTGGCCATGAAGGTCAGAAGAGGACATCAATCTGGAAATAAAGACCATTGTGAGCCTTTGTATGGGTTCTTGGAATCGAACCTGGGTCTTTGTTAGAGCATGTGCTCTTAACCGCTGAGCTATTTCTTTAGACCTGAATATTGCCAACTTAACACTGTCAAGTCTTTGGTTCAGGAAAATGGGCTTCTTTCCATTTATTTAGGTGGTTGTTATCTTTGAACTGCAAAAGCATTATTTTTTTTAAAGATTTATTTATTTATCATGTATACAGTGCTTGCCAGAAGAGGGCACCAGATCACATTACAGATGGTTGTGAACCACCATGTGGTTGCTGGGAATTGAACTCAGGACCTCTGGAAGAACAGTCAGTGCTCTTAACCCCTGAGCCATCTCTCCAGCCCCAAAGCATTATATTTTAAGTATATTCCTGTTTTATTCTGTGCAATTCTATCAAAAATGGAAGTCTTTTCTCCCTCTTGCTGTTTTTGAGACAGGATTTCACTGTGAAACCCAGGAATGCTTTGGTCTCTCAGATGCTGAGATGCTGGCCTGTGTTATTATGCTTAGCTTGGGACTTCCTTAATTTTATTTATTAATTTATTTGTTTGTTGTAATTTTTTAAAGTAACTACTTTTATGTGTATGAATATTTTGCCTGAATACCATGGCCCATAGAGGCCAGAAGAGGGCATCAGATTCCCTGGGATTGAAGTTAGAAACTTAGATGGTTATGAGCTGACATGTTGGGTTCTAGGAATTGAAGGAGTCTTCTGGAAGGACAGCCAGTGAGCTAGTTTTCTAGCCCCCTTGGGGATGTAATTTTTGTTTTTGTGTTAGAGCACATGTGTTGTTTTGCTTTGTTTTTGAGATAAGGTCTTACTTTGTAGCCCTGACTGGCCTTGGACTCTTAGAGATTTACTTGCCTCTGCCTCCTAAGTGCTGATATTAAAGGTGTGAGTTACCATGCACAGCAGGGGACTTGGTTTTTAATAATAGAAAGGTTATTTATGTGCAAGTATTTGCTGAGTAATAGGAACGGAATACTGTAGATTCTGTTTTGTTTGCAGCATTTGATCACTGGTCATCACTTCCTTATTCTTGGGTTTGGGTCACAGTTACTAATGTAGCACTTCTGCTGGTCAATAAATTTTAAGTCTTTTATTTGCCTTCTAGGACAGCCTGGAACTGTAGTAGCTCACTGTGGGACTCAGCTGTTTTGTACTTTGTGCTGATAAGATGAGTTTTCTATAATAGATGTGATTGTGACCATTTGAGTGGAACAGTTGCACAGTAGGGATGACCTGCTGATAAGACATGTCTTCCTGGAACTCTGGTGGCAAATCAGGCAGTGTTGCCTCTCAGTAGATCTGCAGGATGCTGCTTGGGTAGGGAACTATCTGGTACCAGAGTTGAATTTTAGTAGAAGACAGGGCGAGTTACCTGCTCATTTAGAGTGCTTTGTGGGCTTTTGTTTGAAGCTCAGCTCTCCAGTGGATGCTTCTTCCATCATTGTGTAATAAAAAATGGAAAGGCTTATTGTAAAGTCATTTTATCATAGTAAAGTAACAATGAAGTTTTCTTAGACAGTGTTGCTTTGTTTCAGCAATTAAATTTTTTTCCTCCATTACAGTTTTGGAAACATGATGAGCAAGGAGAAGAGAGAGGCTGCCAGTAAGGAGGACCTTGCCAGAGCAACTTTGATCACCATCACCAACAACATTGGCTCCATAGCAAGAATGTGTGCCCTTAATGAAGTAAGGGGACATGAGATTGTTCTGTTACTCTTAAGGGGAAATGTTGAGTTTCCTAAATGGGTCCCACTCAGCCTTACATAGTGTCTGTCGTCTTATAGTAGTGCCCCAATGTAGTTACATGGGGTGGACTTTAAATATAAACACTTGAGGAACAGATTTATCTTCACTGATTCCCTCCACCTCCACCTCCCTCACACATTTTTTCTCTTCCTAGAGGTGAATGGCTTCTTTTGAGGAGAAAGTAGAGTGGGGTCAGGAAGGAGGCCACAGTTGAGCTGGGGGTGGGGTATGGAATGATGGTAACAATGCTGAATCTAGATGCTGTGTTTGTTGGGTGCTGTTGAGGTGTGGAAAGGAATTCACAAGAAGCCACTGAAGCTGGGAGAGAAGACTGAGCGGTCAGAGGAAGGCCCACCTTGGTTCCCCTCCACTGCAGCAGAGCTGTCTTCGTGCTTTCAGCTTCTTTACAGTGCTGCCTTGTAGCATTCAGGTCAAGCAGCATTGTACAGGGCTATGAAAGAACCAAGAATGGGCTGCCCTTAGAGAAAGAGTATCTAGGATCCAGTTGGTGCAGCTTTATGGCTTGTCCCTATTCACACACTTTGGTTTAAAATTGCTCTTTAATATAGACATGTACTTTAAGCGGAGACTTCAAAGCCCAAAGGATTTGCCTAAATTTTAAATTAGAAGGTACTATATACCAGGTTTTTAAAAAGTACTTCATTTGAATAACATTTTTTTCCTTTATTGAATGTTATCTTTTCTGTGCTTAAGTATTTTAAAATTTTTAGTGGATGTGCATACTTTATGTTTTTAATTTGAGATATATGGTTTATGGGTGAATTTTGTGTGTGTGAATGCATGTGTGTGCTTGTACAGGTGTAAAAGTCAGAGGATAGCCTAGGGTGTTTCTCAGGTTCTGTCCACCTTGGTTTTTGTTTTGTTTTATTTTCTTTTTTTAACTAGCTATCAAGACTAGGCTGGCTTCAAACTCCTAGATACCTGATTGCCTCAGCCTCCCTAATGCTGGGATTAAAAGGTGTGTGCCACCATGCCTGGCTCACCTTAGTTTTTGAGGCATGGTTTGTCACTGGTTGAAACTTGTTCATTAGCTATAGTGACTGACCAGTCATTCCCTGGAATCTGACTGTTTATGCCTCCCCAGTGCTGGGATTATAAACTTGCCCCTGCCCCTTCTTTCTTAGGTGGATTCTGGGGAATTCAACTCAGCACCTCACACTTGCATGACAAGCACTCTATTGACTAAGCTTCCTCCCTATGTCATGGCTGTATATTTGATCATATTCTTATTTTGTCATAAACTCTTCAAATAGAGCTGGGCATTTGGTTTCTTGGAAGTGGTGACAGTGGTAAGTATTTTGAAGTATGGACTTGTTCTTTGGCTGTTTTATTCTTGATACAGGGCTGACTTGGGTGTGACTGTTGTAATCACCCTACATTATGATTGTGCTTAGGGATCCTGGTAGAGGTTGCTGAGGAGTTTTGCACAGTTGTTGTACCCATTTTGAGCATCTTTAGCATTGATGGCTGGACAGCTTTACTGAATTTGGGGGTAGAATTTCAGGTAGACTAGATTTTGCTTTCTTGGTTCACAGCTGAAGCTAAATTGTTTTTAGCTGTCACATACCTTGCATAATTTGCTTCTTAGTGTCAAGGCCTCTTTTGGGTTAGTTACTTTCCCCTTGCCTTGACCAAATACCTGACAAAAGTAACTTAGGAGCAGGATTTGTATTGGCTCACAGATTGCGGGTATAGTTTGTGGTGGGGAGGCTCATGCAATGGTAAATTAACTTGCAGAAGAGGGGGGCGCTCATTCACATGTTGATATGCCAGGGAACAGATAAAGGCTGCTTCAGCTGACGTTTCAGTCTGTAGGATAGTGTCGCCCACACTCAAGACAAGTTTTTTCTTAATTACCTTCTGGAAATGCCTCATAGACACTGCCAAAGGTGTGCCTCACTAATGCTTCCTACTCCAGCTATGCTGACAATTAGTATTGACCATCTCAGGCTTATCCCTTGTCAGCTTGTCAGCCAAACAACTCGCTTTAAATCTAACATTCCACCCCTCACCCTTAATGTCTTAATTTTTCCTCATTATCAGTTGTTTTTGTCTTCCTCCAAATCCCTTCCTTTTTCCCCCCCAACCCCCCCACCTACCTCACGTCTTTTCGTTGTTGTTTGTGGCTCATTGGATTTAATCGAGTTGCTTGCATGAGTAAGGCATTATTTACTTGAATAAGGCCGCTTGGTTCTGAAGCTGGGCATGGAGAGCCACACCTTTAATCCCAGCACTTAGGTGGCAGAGGTAGGCAGATGTCTGAATTCCCAGGCCAGGCTGGTCTACACTGTGATTTCCAGGCCAGCTGAGACTATATAGCAAGAATCTCTCTTAGAAACAAAGTTGGTTCTGAGACTTATCATAATCTCATAATGATGAGCTTCTGTAAAAATCAAAATGTAGAGTACAACTTCCAGTATAATGAGGCAGAGTAGACATTTCCATTCTGTAAGGGAGGAACAGGAGCGCAGCAAAGAAATACCAGACTATGTAACAGAATGGGATAAATGTCAACTTTTGCAGCTCTGTGCCCAGGGCTCATGATGGCATCATTTAGACTTCAGCAGACTTTCATAGTTCTCTGCTAGCTATTATTGGTGGCAGTTGTTTCTATCTTGAGCTGACTTCACATGGAGTCTAGAGGTTTTCTTGGTAAATATCCGGTGGTTCCTGGCATCTCCAGTATTTTAGAGTCTATGTTGCAACTTAGACTTCACCATAACTGTTGCACCTCTTGGGGCCTACTTGTAGGGAATTCAACCCAGTCCGCATTGCTTGGCCCCATTAGCTTTCTGAAGCCATGATGCAAACGTCAGTGACTCCGTAATTCTTAGATCTTTAAAAACAAAAACAAAACACAAAAAAACCCTATTTATTTAGAAGGTATGTGTTTGTGCTTGCATGTCAGAAGTTGTGTAGAATCAGAGAATAGCGTTTAGGAATTGATCTATCCTTCCAACATGTTTAATTAGACTCAGTTTATCAGGCAAGTGTCTTTACCACTGAACCATTTACCAACCCAACTCTGAGATTGTGATGCCTGCAAAACAGTACCATGTGGAATCACTGCTGCCTCCTGCCTTCAACTCCAGATGTAGCTATGCCTCATTTATAACAGTGACAGAGGTCTCTGAGTGTCTGGATGGCTGAACTTGTGACAGTGTGAATGTGAGGCTTTTGATCACAAGTGGATGGACTAGGACTGAGAGGGAGAGAAGTGAATGTGATGCTCAGCTGGCTTTTTCTGCCCAGAGTGCCCCCTCACACCCCCACCCCCACTTAAACCTCTCTCTAAGTGACTTCACAACCTAAAGGTGTGCCGAACTAATGCCCCAGGTTGTCTTAATCTAATCAGGTATCAGGTTGACAAAAATTAATCATCAGGGGTTCTGCTGTATTTTTTTTTTTTTTAGCTTATTGTTAAGTTCATAATCTTTCTGTGGGGCAAGTGTGAGGTGGGCCCTGAATTGTCTATCAAATCTCATTAGATGTGAACCAGTTGAATTGAATTTGACCCAATCATGTTGCTCTGAAAACTATATAATGTTGAGAGCTTTATGAGAAAACAGAAATCAGAGTGTGAACTCACTGCCACTTTTCTGTGCTCAGAACATTAACCAGGTTGTATTTGTCGGCAATTTCCTGAGAGTCAACACAATCGCCATGCGACTTCTGGCATATGCTCTGGATTACTGGTCCAAGGGGCAGCTAAAAGCACTGTTTTCAGAGCACGAGGTGAGTGGCTTGTTTCCAGGGCTCAGTTAAAGTACTGACCAGGGCTGCAGTGGTCCTGTTCTAACTATGCAGTGGCCTTGGGCTTTTGTTGTTGTTTCTGAAAATATTTCTTACCAAATGTAATGAGGTAGGTGTTCAGCTAGTTTAAATTTTAAGAATTTTTGTTGGTGTTTGAAATAGGGCCTTCCTACATGCTGTGGATGTCCTGGAACGTACTATAAAGATCAGATTGGTTTGAACTTTTACAGTTTCTCTAAGTGCTGGGATTATAGTCATGAGCCATCATGCCTCACAGTTTAAGTGGTTTTAAAGATTTTTTTTTTTTGCGGGGGGTGTTGGATCAAATCCAGGGTTTTGTACTAGGTGGGCAAGGGTTCTGTTACTCAGCTATACCCTTAGGATGAACATTGCCCAGTATTGCTGATGCTTTATTCTCTAAACAAGCTGTGTGTTCTATTCTGCTTTTTCATGACAGTTTTTTTTAATGTCAACTATAATTTACATAAGTATGTATGTATGTTCTAAAGATGAATAGTGATAATAAAAGCATTCCATACTAGAACCACATTGTAATGAGAACATAACAGGCAGACAGCTAGAAGCCAGGATGAAAAGGAATTGGGGTTGCTCAACATGAACACCTGTCTTGGGAAGTGCCCTCTGTCCCTCTTCTTTTCTGTTTGAGGATAATTGGACAGGAGGTGTGGATGGGTGTTTCTTTTCTTCCCCTTGGTGGGTGGGTCTTTAATGTGTGCATATTTAAGTGTTTATGACTTGATAAAAGTTCTTTAAAGTTATTTTTTGAAATTGCTTGCTTCATAATTAAAATCCAAAGTACACATATCCTTTTATTAGAAAGGTTAAAGCTTAAGTCATTTAACTTTTATTTATTTTCTGAGACAGGGTTTTTCTGTGTAGCCCTGGCTGTCCTGGAGCTTTTTTTGTAAACCAGGGTGGCCTTGAACTCAAGAGATCCACCTGCCTCTGTGCTGGGATTAAAGGTGTGTGCTACCATGCTTGGTTTAACTTTATTTTTTAATACATATTTTACATTTAGTGTGTGTACGTGTGAGTATATCCATGCATATGCAAGTACATGTGTTCATGGGGGCAGGCTCCTGCTGTGTTGAGATAAAAAAAAAAAAAAAATAGCTGAGTTTTCCCTTTCCACCATGTTGGTCCTGGGTATCAAGCTCAGGACGATAGGGTTGGTGGCAAGTGTCTTTACCTGCGGAGCCATCTTACCTGCTGGTTTTTAGACACATAGGCTCAAAGTGTAGACTAAGCTGGCCTTGGACTTACAATAATTCCTGCCTCCTCTCCCGAGTGCTGGGATTATAGACATGTGCTTGGTATTTTTAATTTATAAGGTTATTATATTAGTAAATTGATACTAATTGTTAAGTTTCTTACAGTTTATAATCTTTCCCATATACCTATTTCTGTGATACCAGGCCTACTTTATTTTGCTTTATATTAGAATAAAAATTGTTAGCTGGGCAGTGGTGGCGCACACCTTTAGTTCCAGCACTTGGGAGGCAGGCAGATCTCAGAGTTCAAGGCCAGCCTGGTCTACAAAGCAAATTCCAGGACAGCCAGAGCTGTTACTCAGAGACAGGAAAAAAAAATTGTTTATCTTAGTGTAATTTTATCTCTTGCACAATTTCTACCAAAAGGTTGCAACTTTTGCTATGTAAAACATGAAAATTAGTTTTTTAGGATAATATCCCCTCCCTTTTCCACATTTATACAGTTTAAACATCTCTGGGCAGCAAATTTGAAACTTTGTTTTTGATTAGATGTGGTACACAAGTAAGTCTTTGCAGATACCTTAAAATCTAGAAGCTTCCCAAACCAGAACCACTTCTGGCCCCAATCATTTTGGATAAGGGGAACTCAGCCTGTAGTCACACCTTTATGGGATTCTGTTTTGCTGTTCTCACTGCTTACTCATTTTTTTCTTCTGCTTAGCTTGGGCCATTTGTTCTTGGCATCTTTGCTTATAGTCAGGTTTTTGACTTGCATGTTGATGCCTGTCATCCATTATTTCAGTCCCTTGGGTCCTGAGAGACTTGTGTGCCCTCTCATGACAAGGCAGTTGGTTCAGTAGGTGTGGAGGCATGGTGTGCTTTCTTTTCAAGTCTCCCCTTTCTTACTTAATACTTTCCAAAGTAATGAATTAGCCTACTGTGACCTTTTTATTTACTCAGTAGTAGGTCCTGGGTTTTCCGTGGAACTCAATGGACTATAACTTGGTTATGTTATCTTTTTCTTTTCCTTCCTTCCTTCCCTCCCTCCCTCCTCCCCTCTTTCATTTCTTTGTTCTTTCATTATAAAATAAATCTCAGACACAGGGAGCTGCTTACTTTGAAGCTACATCACTTAGAGCTGAGAGTACCTTTGGGTTGTGTCATGGGTCCTTGAACATTGTTGAGTCTGTCCCCATTTGGTTAAGTGACTCCTACACTTTGTTGCCTTCCTAGATATGATATTTAGTGTGTTCTTAGAATTCACCACTAGGACTTGAGGATTTTCATGTTTCCTCCCCCCCCCCCCCCAGACAGGGTTTCTCTGTGTAGCTTTGGGGCCTATCCTGGCACTTGCTCTGGAGACCAGGCTGGCCTCGAACTCACAGAGATCTGCCTGCCTCTGCCTCCCGAGTGCTGGGATTAAAGGCGTGGGCCACCAAAGCACAGCTCCTCTTTCTTTTTGTTATTTTGCATAGTCCTGGAGATTTAACCCTGGCTTTATGTTCTGGCCTGGTGGTCTGCCACTGAGCCATAGCCCAATCGTTTGATCTTACAATGCTTTAATTTCCAACCTCCTGCTTGGAGACTGATGCAGTCTGTCCTTTGTATGATTATTCTGATTCTTGCTGCCATTCTTCTTCTGTTGGTGAGGGTTTTGCTTCATTTGATTTTTTTTGTCATTTGTTTTTTGTTTGGTTTCAGATTCCTGTTTGAGCCCACTCCTTACTGCTGGAGACTGTAGGGCATATGTCTTTTTAATTTTTACTTTTTAAACTGGGTCTCACTATGTAGCCTGGTTATCCCTTCCTGTACAGGTAGGTTTGGCCCTTTCCCACTTCCCCCTCCTTCCAGACTGTTGGCTTTCACCCTGTGTTACTAAGCTTAGTGTCTTCTCACTGACTGTTGGAAATGTCCAGGCCTTTGCCCTAGGACAGGACAGCCACCATTTGTCTTTGTTAGGGTTTTATTGCTATGATAAACACCATAGCCAAAGCAGCTTGGGAAGGAAAGGTTTATTTGGCTTACATATCCCTGGTGACAGTCCATTGAGGGAAGCCGAGGCAGGAACTCAAAGTGGTGGGAACTTGGAGGCAGGAGCTGATGCAGAGGCCATGGAGAAAAACTGCTTACTGGCTTGCTCCTCATGGCTTGCTTAGCCTGCTTTCTGTGGAACCCAGGACTTCCTACCCAGAGATAGCACTGCCCACAGTGGGCTGGGCCCTCCCACACCAACCACTAATAAGAAAATGCCAAATAGACTTAGCTACAGGCCAGCCTAATTAGAGGCATTTTCTCAGTTGAGATTCCTCTTCTCAGATGGCTCTAGCTTATGTCAAGTTGACAAAAGAAAAAAAAAAAAAAGAAAACAAAACAAAAACCAAACCAAACCAGAAAACCCCAAACCAAACCAGAGCAAAGTCCTTGCCACATCTGAGCCTTTCTTCCCTCAGCTGCTGTAGTTGGGCATTCTAGCATCCAGCCCCTCCCTTAAAGGGAGTTCCTTAGGACTTCTCCAGACTGGGTGTGCTCTCTGTGCTCAGGAAACAAATGGGACATACTAGCTTTGTTTAATATATTGACTATACTTGAGGGAGTTTAAAAATGACCTCATGGGACTGGAGGGATGGCTCAGAGGTTGATAGCACACACTACTCTTGCAGAGGACCTAACTTTGGCTCTCTGCACCCATGTTGGGTGGCTCACAACTGTCTAAGCAACTCTAGCTCCAGGGGATCTGACACCTCTGATTTCTGTGTACCTGTACTCACATGCACACTCCCCACACATAATTAAAAAGAATTTCCCCTTGTTTTTCCCCGGGGGCTCCCCCAAACCAGCCCCAGGGGCATCTGTGGGGTTTTTTTTTTTTTTTTTTTTTTTTTGTCTTGTTTTTTAAAGAGACTTAATGTTTTATGATCGTGTACTACCCAAATCAGAGCAAGAAACAAATGTATTTTTCTAAGTCATCAAGATAAATTCTTAAAATTCTGTCTAACCTAGCAACCAGTAAGGATTTTTTTCTTTTTGCCTGTCTAGACAGTATGAAGATTTGCTGTTTATAAGCTGTTGGTCTTCAGGGTAGTACTATTAACTCCAAGGTGCTTTGAACTCCCAACATTATCCACTGAGTATGCAATGGAGAGCAGTCTGTACTTCTGCTAGCAGGTGACTGCTTGTCCTGTTGAAATGTGTGTTAGAATCTAACCAGTTTTGTCAGTATGCCCTTGGAGGTAGTCTTCTGGGCACATTCTGGTTCATGTTTGGCCGCTATGTTAACATACTGAAAATGGTTTATTTCAAGGTTCTGCAAACTTGGCTCAACATGAATTTTGGAAGGGCACTTCCTGTCCTCTTTACTGTGTGGAAAGACACCACTTGGTAGTCTCTTGGGTAGGTGATTGGGGACCTGATGGAAGTGAGTGAGCTAGGTTAAAAAGGAAGTGCCAGATGGACAGCAAGAGTGCTTAGTCCTTTCATACTGAGTGGCAGAGGAGGAACAATGTTTATTAAATAACTTACGTTCTCCAGGGTGCTGGCATGTGGGATACTTGTAGGAAGATGACTCAGAAGGCTGCTGAGATGAACAGGCCGTGAATCATTTTTGATAGGGACTTGACCTTTCTTCTGTGCAGAATAATTTAGGAAGCTCTCTTCTGCTTTCATATTGTACACACTTAGAGGTCTGCAGCTGAAGGCAAGGAAGGGCCTGTCCAGAGCAGCCTTGCATCTGGAACAGAGACCTCAAGCTCTGGCTAGGAATATGTTTCTGCCATTCAGCTGTGGGTTCTGATGCCAGCTTTAGGGCAACAGAAGGCTCTTGCTGGTTTGGGCCATGGGAACTCAGGGGATGGACTTAGCCTCCTTGAAGGTTCCCAATTCCCACAAGGACAACTATAATGTGTGCTTTTGGCTCATTGGATTTCTGGTGCCATTGGGCTGGGGCCTTACACAGCACAGTACATGGGGCTGTTGCAGGGATGGCTGAGATTCCTCAAAACTGACTCTCCACCTACCACTAGTACCAGGAAATTTTTCCATTTGGGGCAGGGTTCTACTTCACCCTACCCTTGTGTGACTCCTGTGAACTTAACACTGCCTTGGGGCTGGCTGACCGGTTGTGACCAGTTTTTGTATTGTTTCTGTCTTCTTACATTGAAGAAACAAGCTCAAAAGGCAAGCCTCAATGGTACACAGCAAGGGGAGGAATGGTACTGTTCTGCACTACCCATTACTTGTCTGTTTTCTCTTTCCTCGTGTTCAGCCCAGTGTCATTCCATGGAAGGGCTCTTTTATTTTTTGCGACAGTGTCTCCTGTAGTTCAGGCTAACCTCAAACTTGGAATATTGCAATATAGCTGAGGCTGGCTTTGAAGTGATGACACAGTTGCTTCCACATCTGAAGTGCTGGGATTATAGGTGTGCACCACTAGCACAATGCCATTATAAATACAAAGGGTGTTTCAGGGCCTCATCCCTGGCAACTGTCTACTCTCAAGCTCAACTCTCCAAGCTGTCCTCCTGTTGGTCCCATCACTATCTGCAGAAATGTACACATTGCATCTCATGGCCACCTCCGACCTGTGAGCTGCATCCAGTGGCTGTTGGAACCATCTTGTCATCTCATCTGTCCAGTCTAGGTAGTTTCTTTGGTGGCCCAAAGTTCCACCTCACTCCTCCCACTCAGGAAAGAGGATTTGTGGCCATGAAGCACAGAGAAAGTAGCCTGGACTGTCAGATGGGAGAAGGATGGCCTGTGTGAAGAGGAAATGTTTTGTGGGCTTCAGTGGCTGGATGTAGGAGGTGAGAGACAGGAGGTGCTGAGGGCACCTAGGTTTGGGGGTTCTCAAAACCAGGCACTCTGAATTAGAGACAGAGCATGAGAAAATGTGGAGATGGGCAGTGAAGGAACAGGCTGCAGGGAAAACAACCTGGAATAAAGGGACCCCGGAGTCAGAGAGCAAAGTTTGTCAGAGAGCAAGGTTGCCCAGGGGCAGGTCCAGGATTATGTGTGGCCTTGGTGAAGATGCCATGGGCTGAAGCTGAGCAGCAGAGAGCTGCTCACTGCCTTGTATTAGGGGAGAAAAGCTGCCACATTTACAGGACTTTGAGGGTTAAGGTTGGGGCAAGTTCTAGGAGTGTTGCAGACTATCAAAGGATAAAGCTATATATCAAGCTACCCCAAGTGCTGGTAGTCACAGTAGGAATGGATGGTGTGGTCTGGCTTTTTGCTGTCACTGAGGCCTGATGGGCTTTCTGTCAGAGTGCCCCACCTTACCTCATGCCAAAGGACGACAGGTCAGAGGTCATTCAGTTTCATGCCCATAAGTTGACAGTTATATATAATACAAAGTATTTCAAAATCTGCCCTTTATTTACATGTGTTTGGGTCAATTACATGCATGTTTCATTTTTAAACAAGTGATTAGCAAAAAATGCATTAAAGTTTTAAAATAGCAATTAAATATACAAAAATATAGCTTACAAAAACCAATGTTTAAAAATATTCTGCTGCAGAATTCTTAGTGTACAAACAGTCTATGAAACCTGAGGTTCAGCATTTCATAAACCTTTTTTTGAGGGAGTTATATCTAGTAAATAAGCCCCAAAAGGCTAAACTACAAGACTAAAGTGCCACTCCCCCACTTTCCTGGCCATGACTTGTCAAGAGACTCAGAGGCACCAGTTCCAGGCCATCACCAGGAAGATGCCCTGCTTCACATCAGCCATGCTGGAGTGGAGCGGGTGGTGCTGAGGTTTCTCAACCGCACAAGTTCCTTAACACTGGTAGGGCCATGTTCTTAGCTACATCATGTCTTTGAAACAGCAGGGGTGTTCTCCCTGACCCTGTGAACAAAGGAACTAAGAATGTGGATACTTGCTTGGTCTAACTAGAATAAAAGCATCTTGCAGCAACTTGGGTTCTAAAGCTGAACATGAAAACAGGCTGACAAGTGTTCAGCTCAATTAGTGTACCCAAATCCTGATAAATCTTGCCTAAAAGCTTTACCTGGCATTTCAGGTCCTCATCTCTTAAGATTTAGTTAGATACTGTGATGCTTTCATTTTAGGTAATTTTTTTAAAGATTCGTTTTTATGTGTATGAGTGTTTGTTTGCATGTGTATGTGTGTACCTGGTGCCCTCAAATGCCTGAAGAGATCTCCGGGAACTGAAGTTACAGATTGAAGCTATGAGCCACCATGTGGGTGCTGGAAACTGAACCTGGGTCCTCTGGAAGAGCAGCCAGTGCTCTTAATCGATTGACCAGGCTAGAGGTATGAAGTACCAGAAGGACGGTTCTCCACTTCTCAAGGTTCATCTTGGGTGAGCACAGGCACACTTAACTCACTGGGCTGTTTTGTAGGCCGCAGGGAAGCAGGTGGGTGGGGCAAAGACTTTGGGTGGTAGATACTGAAGAGCAAGGCACATGTCTGCTTTTCCCTTATGGTTGCCTGGAGGAGGCTGCTTTAGTTTCTAAATTCTGAGAAGGCAAAAAAAGTAATTTCTGTTAATCAGAAAGTTGGGTGAGGGAAGAATTCTGTAGGAAGCATTTGCTTCTCTAGTGTCTTATTTGCAGTCACTTAGGTGTAATGACCGTTAGCCCTGGGGACTTAGGAGACCTCTACCTTGATCCATGCTTTCCTGCTTCAAAAACCTGACACCAACTAAGTGACCATTGCAGCTTGTCCAGGCACCTGAGACTGTTCAGTGCTGGGGGAAGACTGCCATTCTGGAGAAGGTAGAGAAATCAGCTGTGCTGTTTGTTATTTTAGGAGTAAGGGACGAATCTGTAAAGGAATCTACACAAAAGGAATGTGAATGCAAAAGCAGCCTCCACTTCTGGCTCACCTTTCATGTAGCTACCTTCACTTCTGGGATGGCTTTCTGTATAAAGTCTCTCAACCTGTACACACCACAAACACCCCTACCCCTGAAAGGAGACAAGAGGAACAAATAAAGAATTGAGTGCTCATGGGATAGATTTTTGTAAGGAAGACAGCTACTGTGATATTTGAATTTTGTGAAGGATGACCTATTCAAAGACTCAAAGGAAGACTGAGCAACCAAGTCAAGACTCAATTTGGAGGCTAGGCATGGTACCCTGCTTTTAATTGCAGCAGATTCAGAAGAAAAACTGGTCTCTGACTTTGAGGTCAGCCTGATAATATAGTTTCAGGACAACCAGGAACCTGTCGCAAAAAGATTGACTGTGGCAGAGCCAGGGGAAGCCTCACAGTTCAGGAAGTTGTTGAGTTTGTCACCAGGAAGGTATGTATTATCAGCAGCTCCTGGTGGTCCCCATGCCTGGACCCACCAGACTGGATTGGCATGTCTTCTAGGAACCTTACTACAATTCCTGGGTGGTGGCTAAGGAAAGGAGGCTCTGGGAGGCTGACCTGAAGAAAAGCACAAAGCAAGTGAGCAGTGAGTGGACAATTCAAACTCGTGCAAGCACTTCTGCATAGATCTCCCTGGAACCTCCTCTATGGACATCTCAAATTTCCAGAAAATAAGTGCTGTAGGTGTTTAGCACATCTTAGAATAGCTGTTCAAAGTCAGCATGCTTTGCAACAGAGCCATGGAAAAGAGCTTTTGTCAAGAACAGTATTTGACAATGGTGGGAGGTCTCCAGTATTCCTCAGTATAGACCTCACTAGAGGCCACCTGTCCCTACCTGGCTGTTTTTTCCCACTTCCTGGTTAGGTAAGCACATGCTATAAGAACCATTGGTCAGGGATAGGCCAAACAAAATTACACATGGCAAAGTAAAACATGTCAGTGTTTTCTATGTTAGAGTGACTCGAGTAGGAATCTGATTTGTTCCACTTCTAATGCCAGCCGGATTCAGTTGGCTTCCAGGCAACAATGATCATGACATTAAGTCTAGCTAGGGCTGAGTTATGCTCCACTAACCCATAGCTCACAAGTAACAACCAACCCTCTAGCTACTAGATGCTTGAGTTCAAATAATCCAAGAGTAGACCAAAATCTTCACCCACACATAAAGGTTACCAGACACTTAGGAAATAATGGCCTCATTGCAGGTTTGGGTTTGAGCATAGAATGACTCAGCCAACTGTAAATGTACAAGAAAACACTGGTGGGGAACCAGGCATAAATGTTGGGCCAGAATGACTGGGACAGGTATGGCTGGGCTGCTGCTGCAGTAAGTGATCAAGCCAAGCAGGGGAGATGAGAAGCAAACTTTGCACAGAAACAGCTTCCAACCCAAGGAATGTCTTTTAGGAAGCAACCACATTAACAGTGGCTGGGCAGAAACAGATAGAGAACCTCAATCAGGCCCAGCAGAATGGGTGTCCTGGTGCAAAGCTTACCCCAGTACTCTCCCGTTGCCTATTCAGGCTGCACACCAACCACCTTAACCTGTCTGGAGGTCTGATGAGAATTTTGCCTTTGGTGAGGTTGGCTTTTTAGTAGTAAGGACAGGGATAGAAAAAGCTGCAGCAAAAGACCAGGATTCTACAAAAACTGAGTGGTAATAACTTTTCCTTATTGTCTCCAGTTATGCAATATGAAATTATGGATGCTAGCCTATAACAAAAGTAGGCCAGAAGAAGCCCACATCTGGCATTGGTCACTGAAAACATTTCACTGTAAACTGAGTGTTTGGGCAATTGACTCTGGTGCTACCAACCTACAGGCACAAGAGAAACATAGGCATGAATTCTTGGGCCCAATCAGGCTAAGGCTCTCAGAAAATGGTTCATGCTCCCTTGCTCTGTATAGGAATCCAGCTGGCCTGCCATAAATAGAGCACACACTGGGGACAGCCAATTCTTACTGACCAGATTTATAATTTTCCAAATGAACTCTGCCAAGAACCCCCCCTCCCATCCCCTTTTGCAAGAGGATCTCACTGTGAAGCCAAGGCTGGTCTCAGATTTGTGACCCTGCCTGCCTCAGCTGGGACTACACAGGTGTGTGTACCACATCTGGCTTCCTTAGCACTTTAAGGTTAGACAAGTAGGAATTTTCTTCCCTATCTGACCTCAGCTGCCAGAGGCAAAGGCAGGCCCCGAATCATTCTAAGATTGGGTAGATGTCAAGAACAGAGTAGCAAAGTCCCCCTCCCCATCCTCTCTGCCAGACTGTACTTCCTGCAAAAACTTCCTCCTCACAACAGTGGGGCAGCAGGGCAGCAGGGCAGAGCAGTTGATGAGGCATAACATTGGCACTGTTGTGACGGGGAGGGGAGAGCAAGCTGTGTAAAAAGAATGTTCTGTGCTTTACATGGCTAATTTACAGTGTCCACAAAGCCCATTGGAGGCAATTATCTCTAGAAAAGTTGGACAGAAAAAGCCAAAGAGCAGCATGCATTTCTCATATAAAAACACCTTCAGTTAGGGATATCAAGTCCAAGTAACTGAGGTACACACCAACAGAAGGCCAGCCATGCAGGAGCTTCCTCAAACTATTTACAACTCCAAGTGGCTCACTGGCTTCACGATTCAGAATTACAGGGAGCTTATTTGGGATAAATGTTTAAAAATGCAGTAAGACATTTTTCTTATGTAGAAAAGGAGCAGAAGAGAGGAGAGGAGGGAAAGGAGAAGAGAGAAGCAAAAGTGTCAGCGTCCCGGTCATCCAAGTGGTTGAGGACCGGCCTTGCTGAGAAAGTAGCTTCTCTTTAGAGCCATCTGAGGGACCCAGTGGGCTGAGGCCAGCAGCTACAATGGAATTGTACTGCATTTGCTGGGTATTTGAGCAGTACCCTGGCTCCTGAGTTACACAAGACCGTGGAGTTCAGGGTCAAGCTCCTGATGGGTCTTACTGGTGACTAGGAGGGAAAACAGAAGAAGAATGGCTCCTGACCAGGCCTTTCCAAGTGTTCTAATGGCTTCAACTTGGAAGATTTGACAGCAAGTGTGAACCAGTGTGTGTGTGTGTGTGGCAAGGGGTTCTGCTGCTGCTGCTGCTGTTCCCATAATCTTCAGGCTCCAAGAAGGCCTTAGTAAAGGAATAGAACCTGAAGAGCCTTGCAGGGGCTACCTCACCAAATGCTGGCAGCCAGTTGTGCTTCAGCTGATGGAACAGCTGGTTTCAGGACTCGGGATGCCAAGAGGGTTTGTGGCAACAGAGGCAGGTGAGGTCTTCACAGCAGCTTATAGGTCCACAGGTGGGTGTGGCATTAAAGTCTCATTCTCAGTTCCTTTCTCTAACATCTGTGTTGTCTTCCCTTCTGGTTGATGCGGAGGTGCCTGGGAGACAGCAAGAGATGCTCAGGAAATTTCTGAAAGCAAACCTGCAGGCTCTTCCACTCCTCTTGGCCTAGGGTGATGTTATAGGGCTTTGGTTGTCACAAGATCCAGATGCCTAGGGTCTCAGCTTGCCTGGCTCAGGAGTTCTTCATGAGGCAAAGAAAGTGACAGTGGGGGCCCCAGGCAGAGAGCAGCCCAAACAAAATTTGCTGTATTCCTCCTGGCTCCACACTGATGCATCCAGCAAGTCTGATTCTTGCAGCAAGCTATACAATGTTCTCTGCCCCAGGGAGGGGCTCTTGAGGGGGACCACGGTCCTGTTTACTGTGCAACTGGGCCAGCTGCAACACCGGCATGTTGCACAGGGGACACACTTTTCGGACTTCCAGCCACTTAACAAGGCACCTGTAGAACAAGACAGCCAGGTGGAAGACATCAGCTCTAGACTTAGACTAAGCAAGGAGTCTAGGGTGGGATCTCAACCCTAGAGTCCACATTACCTTCTGACATGCCAGAGCTTTCTATCTCACACAAAGTAACAAAGATACCACAACTAACACATAGTGAGTCATGTGTGGCTTCCTATAAAATTTGCTGATGTAGGAAAGCAGGAAAAATAAACCAAAATTTCCAGAAGGGGATATGATATGTGTCTGTAGAAAGGAAGGTGGCCCCACAACACCATGTATATCCACAGTATTTATTGTGACTTAAAATAACTGGATGTGATTAAAATACAGCTTCAAGAGGTGGAAACAGTTGTTGGAAAGTTCCAGCAAAGAGCTGTTTATAGAGGTGTAGGGTGGGCTGATCTCTGCCCAACCCTGCAGTGATAGTCATGTTCCATTTCCCTGCTCCCTCCTAATGTCACGTACACATGCCACACCCTGTGGTGTGCTGTCAGTTTTCACATTACAGACCAGTTGTGAAGGCATCGAGCTTGGTTAGCAATGTCCCCATGGTCTAGAATAAGTTGGATCACATTAAGTACTCACTTTCTGTGGAAGGCATGCTTACATGGGCAAATCCCCAGTTCATCTCGAGGCTTGAAGTCTTCTAGACACACAGCACAGAGCTGAAAGGCAAAGTCACAGTGAGGCCAGTGTGTACCACAAAACATGGTGTGGGTTCCTGAAGCTCAGCTAAGCAACAGGACATAGGGCTCCCCAAGAGTCCTAGTGAGATGATCATGCTGCACATTTTGGACATGTGTAGTTAGTCAGCATATAAAATGATATTAAATACAATCCTTAAGGCAGGCATTTTGAGTTAGTTGTGCCTACAAGTCCATGGGAGGCTGAAGCAGGAGGACTGTTGTGAATTCAAGGACACCTGGGGCTACAGATGAGCATCTCTCTCAAAAACAAACAACCCTGGAAAAATCTTGAGACTTTGTGTAAGGGTTAAGCCTTATCATCAACCTGACTGGCTTTCAGAAGTCACCTAGGACACTAGATGTTTCCATAGAGGTCTAACAGGAGGAAGACACCTTCAGTGTGGGCTGCGTATCCACACTGAATATAGAGAGGAGGGGCAGGGAAGCCTGGTGAACATCAGTGTTTATTTCTCTGCTTCTCACTGGAGGACACAATGTGAGCTGCTTATGCACCTACAATTGCTCAAGCCTTGCTCTCTGCCAGGTCTTCGCCATGATGAATGCATACCCAAACTATGAGCCACCATAAACCCTCTCTTGTTTAAGTGGTGTCAGGTGTTGGTCACAGTGACAAGAGGAGTAAGTGATAACACACATGATCATCACAGGAGAGGGAAGGAGGGAGGAGCCCATCTTTTAAAGCTGGAAATGAAGGTATTGAAGCACACCACTTGTTTTAGAAAATCATGGAAAGATTAAATACTTAAAAACAACTTACCTCATGTAAATTCAGTTCTTTTACTTTTTCTTTTAATATAACCTGTAAGATAAAAAAATGCTCTTAGACCCACATAATATGTAGGCATGTATCTTTACCCACTGTACCATCTCAACAGCCATGTGAATATGTACTTAGTGGTCACAGTATTTGCCTAGCATGTGCTATGCTCAGGTTTCAATCCCTACTGCTACATGCACAGAAGTGATTGAAGAATTTCTCAATTCTGCTGACAAATATATGCATATTTTATATGTGTATATTATATAGGCAGATAAGAAACATGTATGTATGTAGTTCACTTTCCTCACTCAAATTACAATCTTTTATACTTTGAAACACAATAGTCTAACCTTTTGTAAGGCAGTACTAACCTGGGATTCACTATGTAGATCAAGCTAGCCTTAAACCCATGGAGAGCTGTCTGCCTCTTCCTGAGTGCTGAGATTAACAACCCATGGAGAGCTGTCTGCCTCTTCCTGAGTGCTGAGATTAACAACATTCTTTCAAATATTCTGAAAAGCACATCTCACTGTGTAGCTAATAATGACTTCTAACCTCTGCTCTTCCTGTGTCCACTTCCTGACTGGCTGGGATTACAGGTGTGTACTCATGAGGATTGGATTTAGGACCTTGTGCATGCTTGGTAAGCCTCTTATAACTGAGCTACATCTTCAGCTCTACTTCTGAATCTTCTTGAGAATAGAGCAAATCTTAACACATGCTCATGTGGATTGTGATGAAATTGTTGGAAGCAATAACCACAATTCAGTTAAATGGTATTGGCTGATGAGAGTAATTCGTAAAAGATTAAAATGTAAAGTCAATTTTAAATTCGGGAGTGTAGTGGGAAGGGAGGGGTCACACTTGCTGTCTTTTGGGGTTATGGTCTGAGACCTGATTGTCATCCTGTATCACAGCATCCTGTGCCTCTAAGGGCAAAAGACTGCGATGGCTGTTTACCTTCATTGTGTGAGTGCTCCCCAAATAAATATGTTATTCTTTTATTCAGGCATTCATGGATCTCATTAAATTTGGTCACACAGGACATCTGCTTATTATACATTCATATCCTCAGAAAATTTTCATTTAGATTTGTCCTGGGTGTGTGGTAACAAACATTAGCTGAAGTGAATGTGACATGGCAAAGATTCCATCAAAAAAGAAAAATTTGAGAATAGACTCATCTTAAAAAAAATTATTTTGGGGCTGAAGAGATATCAGTGGTTAGGAGCACCGACTGTTCTTCCAGAGGCATGGGTTCAATTCTCAGCATGCACATGGCAGCTCCCAACCTTTTATAGCTCCTGTCAGGGGATCTATCGCCCTCATGCCCTCTTCTGGCCTGAGGGCACCAGACATGCACATGGTGCACAGACAAGCATGCAGGCAAAACACCCACACAAGAAGTAAAATTATTTTATAGTACGAGCATGGGTTCTTTGCCTGCATGTGTATTTGTGTACCATGTGTGCCTATTTCTATGCAGGGCATAGTATACAGATCTCCTGGAACTGGAGTTATAGTTATAAGCCACATGGGTCCTGGGAATCAAACCTAGGAAGGTCCTCCGCAAGAGCAGCGAATGCTCTTAAGCACTGAGTCTCCCAACCCCAGAACAAGCTTGTTTACTGTCATCTATCTATCTATCTATCTATCTATCTATCTATCTATCTATCTATCTATCTGCTTCCGTGAAGGGGGGGGGGTAAGGGAGGCAGTTGAGATAGGGTATCTGTGTTGCTCTATTCTGGAATTCACTATGTAGACCAGACTGGCTTCAAACTCTGTCTCCTGAGTGCTAGGATTAAAGGTCTGTGCCAAACCTGGCTACTTATGTTGATCTTAAGTGGGAAAAATCAGTCAAATGAAATTTGGTGAAAATGTCTAAATTTGGGGTGATTGACATTTAAATAGAAAATGGTTTTGAAGGCAAATCACATTTTCAGAAATCACAAGCAAATTACCATCCAGCCACAGAATGATATGCTAAAAATCTTACTCATCTTAGGATCATGGTTACTTTTCACCTCACCAGATTGGTTCCTGGTCAATTTTACCTATTAAATGGCCACCAAGACCAATTTTACTCTATAGTTAACTTACATGCAAACATCTTGTAGATTTTCAAGATTATGTTAGAATTGAGACAAAAGGATTCACTCATTTAGAAAACTACAACATTCAACTGTCTTAGACCCACATGGTAGTGCTAGAGGGAAACAGGGTAGTCACTAACAGGGAGGGGTACAACGAGTTCACTTCAGACACTTCTACAATAGTCAAACAAAAGAATACACAACCCTAAAATGTGACATCAGTGCCAGCAACAGGGCAGACAGGGATTGCTTCCAGTTCAAGGCTATCCTAGACTACAAAATAAGTTCCAGGTCAACCTAAGATCCTGTTTCAAAATAATAAAACCTGCCACCACCAACAAAAGCAAGTTGAGGTTATAAAAAAGGTGGGTGAAAGGCTAGTGAGCTGTAGGAAGAGAACACAGACACACAGCTGGGTAACCTTAGGAAGAGAATACAGTAACAGCTGGGTGACCTTAGGAAGAGAATACAGTAACAGCTGGGTGACCTGCAGTAACAGCTGGGTGAGGAAGAGAATGCAGTAACAGCTGGGTGACCTGAGGAAGAGAATGCAGTAACAGCTGGGTGACCTGAGGAAGAGAACACAGCACTTTACTGTTCATGAAAGAGAAGATCACTCCATGGGATGTGCACTCTATTAAGTCAGTGGTAACTTAAAGGGTTACAGATGACAGCATTTTTCTTCAGCAAATATTAACTGAAATTCTGTCATTTTGTTCTATCATCTAAAATTTCTATAGCTTCAAGTAATACAGATAGAAGATCACATAAGAAAATCATATTGACCTTTTCTGTGCTGCAAACTAACAAATGAAAAGCATTTAAAATGAATCCATGTTAAGCTAATCCCAGTTTAAACTATGGAACCACAGTCTCAAAGTTTATTGTAAAGCACGATAAAAGCTAACTGTAATTAAATTTCTCACCTGTTTGTAGGCATAAAATTCTTTATGTGCTTGATGTCTTAGCCTAAAAGACACAAATGAGCAGTTTGATATTAAGATTTTGGAGAAAGTACCATGGGGTAACATTCATTGTAAGCTCTAGTAAAATATCATTGAAACAAGACTCTCAATACAGCAGATGTTATAGTGAAGATACGGATTTTGTGTGTTAAGGAAAGTCTACTTATTTGCCTCATTCTTAATTTAAAAACTTAAGACATATATTCGGTAAAGTGCAAAAACTAAGTACACAGTTCAGAAATTTAAAAAATGCATCTGCTGGAATAATTATCATCCACATCAAGATATAGATTATTTCCAGGACCCCTGAAGCTTCGGAAATGATTCCTCCCAATCAGTGTCCACCCTTAAAACTGGCCTTATTTGCCGGGCGGTGGTGGAGCACACCTTTAATTTCAGCACTTGGGAGGCAGAGGCAGGTGGATCTTTGTGAGTTCAAGGCCAAGTCTACAAAGTGAGTTACAGGACAGCCAGAGAAACCCTGCCTTGAAAAACCAAACCAAACCAAACCAAACCAATCAAAAAAACAAAAAACCTATTTGGTTTTTTTAATCGATGATCAATGTAGACTACTTATGTCTGCTTTTAGACTCATGCATGAGTTGCTTGGTGTACCCTCCTTTGTGTTTGGTTTCTTCCAATCTACAGTCCCTAACAGATTCTTTTTGTATCTTGTTACAGAAATGTCTGCCAGCCAAAGATTAAGAAGATAACTCCTGAAGCCAATGTTTGAAGACAAAAACCTATTATCACAGCACTTGGGAGTCAGTGGTAGAAGGATCAGAAGTTCAAGGTTATTCTTGACTACATAGACGTTTGGGGCCAGCCTGGAAGGGCTACATAAGACAGTCTCAAGACAGTGTCCCACATACTGAAAAATCATGTACTATTTCACCTACTGCATTTAGGGTTAAGATCTATCTGAGCCTAGACTTTATGTGTGTTGTGAGGTAGGTGACCAAGTGATTGCAAGCAGAAGTAAACAGCATCTATAAGCCAAGAAAAACTAAGGACTGCTGGTTGTCACCAAAGGCTAGGAAGAGGCCTCTAGTAGATATGCCCAAAAAGATGGATATGTCTGTTGTCTGGACTCACCTGTTTTACAGTGCTCTGAGAGGGTTCTAGAAAACTAACACCCCCTGTCAATACTATGCTATTTTAAAGTCCTTTATTCTAGGGGCTGGAGAGATGATTGAGCAACTAAGAGCACTTACCACTCTTGAAGAGGACCTGTGTTGCATTCCTAGCACCCTCATCACATAGCTTACAACTGATTATAATTTCAGTTCCAATGCTCTCTAGCCTCCACAGGCACTGCACACATGGGGTGCACAGAAATTTATTAGGTACATAAACTTTTATTCTAAAGCAAACACACAAAAGGTAGAGAGTCCATATATATTTTTGATTTGAGATAGAGTATTACTATGGCTTTGAACTTAAGAACTCCCTGCTTTAGGGCCCTACACCATCGTGCTCAGCCTGAGCTACAGAGTAAGATCCTGTCTCAAAACAACAACAAAATCCAACCCCACAAACACCTCTACCCTTTAATTTCATTTTTTTTTTTTTAACTCCATCAAAAGCTCTTTGAGAATATAAATTTTGAGACAGGGTCTTTGAGACCGGGTCTTACTATGTAGCTCCTCTGGCTATCTAGGAACTCACTATGTAGAACAGGCTGGCCTCAAACTCATAGAGATGCACCTACCTACCTCTGCTTCCTGAGTGCTGGGATTAAAGGCGTGCACCACCATGCCTTATTTCATGTGCCATTTTTCATTGTTATTTTTTGATATATGGTCTTGCTACACAGCTTAGCTGGCCTCGAACTCTTGATCATGTGGCTTCACTTTGGAAGTGCTAAGTAACAAGTATTTGCAATTAAACTTGACTTACACAGAATTTTTCAGTTAGTTTTGGCTTTGAAAGTTAGTTTCTTTTAAACAATGTAATAGGTAAACGTGTTTAGATACTAACAACTCAGCCAGGCATGAATCATTAGTGACAAAATCTATCACCTCATCCCAAGTGTGGTAACCTCTTCTGTCCCATGTCTCTGTGTATAGTTAATGTTTGAAGTGTAGAATGTTTAGTGTGTTATGCAGATAACTACATGAATACCCAACTTTTGCAACAGAGAAGTGTTTAAAGTCTTGAAAGACCAGCTGCAAGAAGAGGCCTTTTAAGGCATAGCTTTTGTCTTAAGATATTGTCTTCTGACCCATGATGACTTCAGATGACAGTGATGCAAATGCCTTCTACAAGAGCAACTTCCAATAGACTAATAAATCAGGACTCTAGAAGTAGAAGCAGGTATATATCTAAGAGTTCAAGGCCAGCATGGTCTACATAATGGGTACCAGGTCAGTCAGGGATGCATGGATTGAGGCTCTGTCTTAAACTTAAACTTAAAATGAGAAAGTAGGTATAAGTGTATCTGGATGGGGTGCTAATATTGTGGAAGAACTGTTGAAGACCATTTTCTACTACAGAGTAAAACACCTCATCAGCTGATAGGATTGAAGACTGCACAAAAGTGGGTTATTGAACACCAACTCACAGCCAGTTAAAAGGCTAAGCCACTAATGGCCCATTCTTACACATATTTTGACCTTATGGTAGAAATAACTGTTTAACATATTCTGAAATACCAGAAAATAATAAAAATTGATTACCTAATCAAGTAGCAACAGAAGAGCAAACTAAGAATGAAGACAAATACAGCAGTGCCAAAAACCACAATATATATGTTGAGAGGCAGATTCTGGAATCCAATATTAGGCATCCTGAAGTTGTAATGTGGGAAATCTGAGCTCATGGATGAACTGTGGGAAAGAAAGAATGGAAAAGAATTAGATGTGGACAAGTGTGGTACATGCCTGTATCCTAGCCATTGGGAGGAGTAAGGGGGATTGCTAGGAGTTTGAGGTTAGCCAAAGCTACATAGCAAGACTGTAAAAAATAACAAAAACAAAAACAAAACAAAACCCCCAAAAACCCAAAACAAACTCCAAACTTCCTCAGAACCATGAAGAGGCAAGTTTTCAAATGCTTGACCTGAACTAAAATAAGCAAAAGTATTACTATTCTTGTCCTTCCTTCATTTATCACACCAAATATTTACCAAAGTTATTAGATTCAAAACATAAAGCATTTCAGTTTACATTCATTCATAAAACTCCATGAAATAATGCTAGTAATTAATCAACATAAAAGCTTCAAGGTACAAAAAATGTATTAAAACTTCTCAGATTATTTAATAACTCACCCTTTATGTAGCAGTATTCACCTCATAACTTACCGGTATTTATAATGGTAATATATGAAAAATAACTCATGTGGGCTGGTAATGTGGCAAGCATGACAACCCAAGTTCCATTGTCAGAACCCATGTAAAAGGGAGAAAAAGGACTCCCTGTTGTGGCACATGACATACACAATAACAATAATCCACATATTTCTCAGAAAGGATTAAATAATTATATAGCATCAAATGTTACAGTTTGGTTGTTTCTCAAACAGTTAAAGAGTTGGGCCTGGTAATGCACATCTTTAATTCCTGTGCTCAGAGGCAGAGGCAGAGGCAGGTGGATTTCTGTGAGTTCAAGGCCAGCTTGGTCTACCATAAGGAGTTCTAGGCTATCTAGGGATATACAGTGAGAATCTTCAAAAACAAAACAAAATGAAAATAGATAGGATTATCATGTGATATATCCCAAAGATCTGGAAACAAATTCTTCTGTACTGTTAGCAGCACTATTTTATTGTTGTGCAAAAGTGGGAAGCCTAGATGTCTATTGAGATGAACAGGTAAACAATTGTGGTTTGTTACTTACAATGGAGTCCTAGTCAGCCATAAAAAGAAATGGACAGAATTCCCTGGGAACCCACTGGCTAGGGAAGCAAGTAAGCTAACTGCAGATCTTTATCTCTCCCTCCTCTCCTCCAAACCCAATCCCCCATACTCACCTCAGCTCAATAGGAGACCACCTGTCTTGGCCTCCCTTCCCTCATTGTCCCCTCTCCCCCCATCTCCAGCAGATCACACAGATCTTCCCCTCTGCCCTTCCTTGCCTCTACTCATATCTTTATCCCAGTCCAACTACACTAGGCATTCCCTGGGAAAGGCAGACCTATTACAATAACACCTAACTTCTCAGTGTAGACTTTAAAGTCATCCAAGACTACTATACCCAGCCAAATTTTCAATTACAATAGATAAAGAAAATAAGATATTCCAAGATAAAACTAAATTTAAGCAATATCTATCTATAAATCCAGCCCTATAAAAGATGCTAGAAGGAAAACGTTAATCTAAAGAGTTAACCACACCCAAGAAAATACAAGGAATAAATAATTGTAGACCAGCAAGTCCAAAGAGGGGAAATACACACTTTCACTACAAAATAACAGGAATCAACAAATACTGCTCATTGATAATTCTCAACACAAATGGTCTCAATTCCCCAACAAAAAGGCAACCACAGACTGGATAGAAAACAGGATCCACCTTTCTGCTGCATCCAAGAAACACACTTTAACATCAAGGATAGACATCACCTCAGAGGAAAAGGGATGAAAAAAGATATTCCAAGCAAATGGACCGAAGAAGCAAGCTGGTATAGCCACTTTAATATCCGACAAAATAGACTTCAAACAAAACTATTCAGAAGAGCTAGAGAAGGACATTACACACTCAAAGGAAAAATCCAAGAGGACATTGCAAATTCTTAACTTCTATGCACCAAGCACAAGGGCACCTAGGTTCATAAAAGAAACACTACCACAGCTTAAATCACATATTGACTCTCACATAGCAATAGTTGGTGATTTTAACACTCCACTCTCACCAATAAACAGACAAAACTAAACAGAGAAATGTTGGAGCTATATGATGTCATAAACCAAATGACCTAGCAGATATTTATAGAACACTCCATCCAAACACAAAAAAATATACTTCCTTCTTAGCAGCTCATGGAGCTTTCTCCAAAACTGAACACATAATTGGTCACAAAGCCAAGTCTCAACAAATATAATAAAACTGGAATAACACGCTGTATCCTCTATGGCCGCCATAGATCAAAGCTGGATGCCAGCAACAACAGAAACAAACTCATGGAAACTGAACAACTCAATGAAAACTGGGTCAAGACATAAATGAAAGAAATAAAAAACTTTTTAGAATTGAATGAAAATGAATATACAAATACCCAGACTTATGGGATACAAGATGGTGATTCTACAAGGCAAGTTCAAAGCACTAGGTGCCTACATTACAAAAAGGAGAGATCTCATATGAGTAAGAGCACACTTGAAAGTTCCAAAACTAAAAGAACTCACACCCAAAAGGAGTAGATGGCAAGAAATATCAAATTCAGGGCAGAAGTCAATAAAATAGAAACAAAAACAACATGAAGAGGCAGAGAGTTGGTTCTTTAAGAATACAAGTAAAATTGACAAACCCTTAGCTAAATTAACTAAAAGGCAGAGAGAAAAAGCAAATTAACAGATATTAAGGAAATCTAGAGAATCATGAGGACAGACTTTAAAATCCTGTACTCCATCAAATTGGAAAATCTAAAAGAAAGGGATCATTTTCTTGATGCATATATACCCTCTACTGAAATTAAATCAAGATCAGACAAATTTAAGTATACCTATAACCACTATTTACTACTTTTATTTAGAAGCAGTAATTAAAAAATCTACCAACAAAAAATCAAAACAAAACAAAGTAACAGGACCAGATGGTTTTAGCTCAGAATTCTATCAGACTTTCAAAGAATTAATACCAATACTTCTCAAATTGTTCCACAAAATAGAAACAGAAAGAACTTTGCCCAATTCATTTTATGAGGCCACAGCTGCTCTGATACCCAAACCTCATAAAGACTCAAAATTACAGATCTATTTCCCTTTTGAACATAGATGCAAAAATTCTCAGTAAAACCAGGTGTTGGCAGCTCATGCCTTTAATCTCAGCACTTGGGAGGCAGAGACAGGCAGATCTCTGTGAGTTTGAGGCTAGCCTGGTCTACAGAGGAGTTCCAGGACAGGTTACAAAGCAATATAGACAAACCCTGTTTTGAAAAAACCAAACCAAACCAAACAAAAACAAAACAAAACAAAAAACACATCAAAAAGATCATCCACCATGATAAAGTTGGCTGTATTACAGACATGGGGGGGTTGGTTTGACATATGTAAATACATAAATGTAGTCCACTATAAGCAAACTGAAAGATATAAACCACATGATCATCTCATTAGAAGCAGAAAAGGCCTTTGACAAAATCCAACATCCCTTCATGATAAAAGTCCTGGAGAGATTAGGGACACAAGGGACATACCTCAACATAATAAAGACAGTTTATAGCAAGCTCATCTTAAATAGAGAAACTCAAAGAAATTCCACTAAAATCAGGAACAAGACAAGGTTATCCATCTCTCCCCGTATTCAACATAGTACTTAAATCTTAGCTAGAGCAATAAAACAACTGAAGGAGATCAAGGGGAAAGAAGTCAATGTATCTTTATTTGCAAATGATGTCTATGATTGTGATGATATTTTGTTTATGATCTAACAAATAAAGCTTGCCTAAAGATCAAAGTGCAAAGCTAGGCACACTAGTTAGTTGTAGAGGACAGGCATTGGTGTCACACACCTTTAATCCCAGGATTTGGGAGACATCGGCAGAGGGATCTCTGTTAGTTCAAGGCCATTCTGGGCTACAGGAGATTGAATTTGTCTAAAGAAAAAAAAGAGCTCACACAAAGGTGATCCCAGCACTAGGGAGGTGGAGACAGGAGTGATATGGAGACAGGAATACAAGGTGGGAGGAGACAAAAGAGAGATGCAGTTTGAGGAGCAGTGCAGTCTTAGACTGCACTGAAGACAGGATTGCCCCTTTGGTCTGAGCATTGATAGAGGTAAGAACTCTCTAGTGGCAGGCCACTTTGCTTTCCTGACCTTCAACATTAACTCCAATATCTGACTGAGTTTTTATTATTAACAACAATTAGAATTTGTATTACATATGATAGTGACCCTAATAATTCCACTGGAAACTCCTTCAGCTGATAATACATGTTCAGCAAAGTAGCTGGAGACAAAAATCAACTCACAATCAGCAGCCTTCCTATGTACAAATGACAGATCGAGAAAGAACATAGGAAAACAAAACCTTTCACAACAGCATCAAATAATATAAAATACCTTGAGGTAACTCTAACCAAGCAATTGAAAGACTTGTATATTAAAAACTAAGACACTGAAGAAACTGAAAAAGATGGATTGGTAGGACTACCACAGTAAAAATGACCATCCTATCAAAAGCAGTACACAGATTCAATGCAGTTCCCATCAAAATTCCATTCACAGGTCTTGACAGAACAATTTTCAGTTTCATATGGAAACACACACACACACAGCACACCACACCAAAACCAAAGATAGGTAAAACAATCCTGACTATAAACTGCTGGAGGTATCACCATTCCTTACCTCAAACTGTACTTACCACAGAGCTATCTATAGTAATAAAAACAGCATGGTATTGGTACAGAAAACAGGCGATCAATGGAATTGAAAACCCAGATATAAATCCTCACACCTATGGACACCTACTTTTTGGTAAAGAAGCCAGAAATACACACAGGGAAAAGGCAGCAACTTCAATAAATGGTGCTGATCAAACTGGATGGCTGCCATGTAGAAGAATCCAAATAGATCCATATTTCTCAACCTGGCTAAAACTTAACTTCAAATGGATCAACATAAAACCAGATACACTGAACCTGAAAGAAGAGAAAATGTGGAATA